TATTATAAAATCATCTTTACATGATACGATTAAATTACATTTTTTCTTCGTAAAATCAATTTCTATTTTGGCATTGAACAATGCATAATTAAACAAAAGTTTATGAAACTTGGACCTATTTTCAAAAAATGCAGTGTAAATTCCTTAAAGACTTCTGAAAGTTAATACGGTCATTTATAAAAACTGTTAGCTATATAACCCGAAAGCATCGGTTATATATTAAATTACAGCCATTTTATCTTGGTCATGTTGAGTCATCATAACCAATGATATATTTTTATCTTAAAATAGAATGGTCTGGAAATGCGCTATGTAAATCATTCTCGCCACAATATAACATGTCTTGGTATAACTCGGTATAGTTTTCTATACGCAAATTATGTAAGTGTTCAACAAAAGGAGGAAAACCTAAATATAGGAGCAAAATGAAAATTCTGACAATATGATGTTCTTTATAAATCTTTAAACATGTGACTTAAAGATAAATATTTCAGGTAATAAGGTCATAAAGCCATTATTTGTTGAACGACATATTTGCCAACAAACGATGCCATTCTTGAAAATGCATCAAATTTAACATCAAATATTTGTAAATAACATCGTGAAATATTATAAAATCATCTTTACATGATACGATTAAATTACATTTTTTCTTCGTAAAATCAATTTCTATTTTGGCATTGAACAATGCATAATTAAACAAAAGTTTATGAAACTTGGACCTATTTTCAAAAAATGCAGTAGATGTTTAACTTGACACCGGGTATGAAAAAATCCAAATTCCATTGCAAATCTATAGAATTGTTACTTATTAAAGAAAAATCTGATACAGTAATGTAACCAAAATTAGTTTTCAATCAACTTTTATCAATTAATCTTATAATTATAATTTCGAATATTGATTCACTATGCCCGATCATAGTTTGTAGATTTCCTAATTTGATTTCAAATTCATGTATAATAAATTGTTTCTTTTCAAAGACAAAACTGATAATGTAACGTAGCCAAGATTAGTTTTTTTAATATTTTTTGATCGATTATTTTTTATCTAATTATTTGAATTTTGATGTACTATGCCAGATCACAGTTAGTAGGTAACCTAATCATGTGACACAACTGAGACATCTTTTAGTAAAATTCGTCCGACTCCAGACCATTCTATTTGAAAGACCCTGTCTTAATTAAGATATAACCAATAGCAAAATGCAACATATACTCTATTGCTCTTTTTACTGTAGTTATATTGCAACTTTCAAATTTCCTTTTCCTTTTTGTAACGTAAAAAGTAGTAAATCAACAAACTTAGACTCATCAAAATTACTTAATGGTTCAAACAATATAGTGATTTTTTTTCAAAAGCTAGTCATTGTGTAGTGATATGCTTAACTATTTCACTCTAAAATAGCGGAACATAATTTAAAGGGACTCCACAGAGGTTTAAAAGCCTAAAAACATTAGAATTTCTTACATAAATGAACTGGGGTGCTTTAAACAGAAATATATGCAAAGATAGTAAAGAACTATACTTTTAAAATAAATCGAAAATTGTAGTTTTATGCTTTTCTTAGCCTAATTTGAGTGAAAAGCGTTAAAGCGCTTTTCATTTTGGGTCATTTTTTTTACAATTTGAGTAATTATTATGGAAAAACGAAGTGCGTGAATGATCTGAAAGTTTGCACAAAGATTTGTGGTCTACACCATACATCAAATGGTACATTTATCTGGAAAAAAATATTTTCAGTCCCATCATGTCAAAAAAGCCTCAGTGGAGTCCCTTTAATCTTATTAAAATAAAAACAATTTAAATCATACTTTTTTAAAGTGTATTGGTCTACAATAAGAGATATAAATACCATAAATAATTATTTTATAGTAAGTATTTAGAATCATATATTAAATCAAACCACAAAAAATTGTATATGGGTGTTGTTGGCAAGTGTTAGATACATGATCCGATACAACATATTAATACATAGCATACGTGTATAAGTTATAGAAAGAGCACGGAAACACGAGGCTATCTGATTTGTACGAGGGGGCGTAGCCCCCGAGTATTAATCAGATTGCCGAGTGTTTTGGTGTTCTTCCTCTTTTGTATCATAGTCAAACATAAAAGCACGTTCCCTGTTGTCACAATATGAAACCCCGGCAAAAATGAACCAATGAACGAACATCTGAATATGACATTTATGGCGCTTTCCCTTTCTCTGCCGTCACAATATGTAAACCCCAGCAAAAATGAGCCAATCAATGGGCATGCTCTGGAGTGCGGGTAACTAATACCCGCACTCCAGTTAACGCACTGTGCATGTATATGTATACGATTTAACCCTGACACATTTTCAACAGAAAGGTCTCCAAACTATGATACAATAAAGTGTTTTTAGAACAATTATATATTAAGTCCATACTAAATCATTTTAGAACTCTATCAACATTTCCAAAACATATCCAAAATGCACATTTCTTATTGTCTAATTGTGGTCGTGTTATCAATATGTAGACCAATCCACTTTAATTATAAGCGTTTTGTTACAAGTTTCATTTTGTGTTTTCTAAATGTATCTGAGTAGTTCACAAACAAAGTTTTCAGAACTTGAGAAGATATTTTTAAATATTTCACAGCGGCCTAGGTAAAAACTTTCTTTACAAATGTAAATTCTTCTTGAAGGAAACAAGTTTAAGTATAAACGATGCAAAAGTTTTGCTGGTCTGTCTTTGTTTCAGCAAGGTACTAGAACATTGTACAAGGTATTGGTGATGCACTGTTTTTAAAACAATATACTTTTGGATATGTTTCTGTATTGCCAGGAACCAGGTGTAAAGTTTTCATATTGGACTCTAGTATTCATATTGGACTCTAATAGAAGCATAATCATCATTGTCACTGTAGATTTACTCGAGCTGATTATCTGAAAAAAAAGTATAAAGAATAAATGAGAAAATTCAAAATATAAAAAAGTGTAACAGTGTAGATTACAGGATTTATTAAGTATAATAATATATTTGTATGTGTTTTATGATTCATACACATTTAAGGTGAACCTAAGTTAATGCAAATCATAAAATTCCATACGCGTAAGTAACTAATCTATTTTTTAATTAATTTTATGTAAACTATGTTTTTTGATATTATAGTGGCATGTGTGAATATTATTTTTGTTAATCAAATTATATAACATAGGGTATTGCACGATCGTGCATAAACTTTGACGTGACATCATTAGCGTTATACAAACATAGTGTAAAGATGCGCTAAATGTTAGCGTTATACTATAGGCGCGTCAATGAAGGATGACTCTTATTTCACTTTAAACGGTCTTTATTTTGGGTATGTGATAAATAGAATATTAAATTCGAGTAAGTTCATTACTGAATTAATTGCACTCGTTGAATTACATAATATTATGCCTGCAAGAGGCTCGCATAATATAATTTTATTCAACTCGTGCAATAAATTCAGTATTGAACTTACACTCATTCAATATCCTCTATATAATACATCTCGCCCAATTGCCTATAAGTCTTCTTCATTTGTAAAAAATAGTTACCATTAAGTGATAGAAATTTGGATAGAATATATTCAAATTGCCCTTTATATGGATCATTATATCTCCACGACCTGACATGTGAGTAGAACCACAGACCTTCTGTAAGCAAATTGAATTGAATAGTACATCTTCCGCCCTCAGCTGAAATAAATTATTTAAGCAATTATCAGCTTGAATACAAGTAGAACTACGGACCATCTGTAAGCAAACTTAATTGAATTATTAAGCCACGAGCTGATATCAGAGTAGAGTAAGTAATCATAATGGAATAATATAGGCATGATCTGACAATTTCAGAGGGGAACCTCTGGCATTCCTAAAGGAACTGAATTGAAAATAACACCTTCCCCAAGCCAGCTGAATTAATTTTTTAAGCATAAGCTGGTATCCAAGTAGAACCAAAAACTTATGTAAGCCAACTGAATTAAATCATCTAGGCAAGAGCTGACATCTATGTGGAACCACTTTCTTTTCCAGTCATATAAATTTAACAATTTGACATAAGCTGATATCCGTTTAAGAGTGAGTAAAGTAAGTGAGTAAAATATAGGCATGCGATGACATCACAGTATAAACCTCGGGCCTGCTGTAAGCCATTTGTGCATAATTAGAACCACGGCCTGTTGTCAGCTAAGTGAATTTAACTATTTGGCCTAAGCTGATATCCAAGTAGAATCACAGACCATTACTAAGATAACTAGTACCAAACTATGCTTAAGATGTATTAAACTCTGATGGTATTGAAACTCGGTTTACAAAACTTGGCGTAAAATGAAATATTTTTTCAATAATTTCCCTAAAAATCGTTCATTTATAAATTGAATTGGTTGAATAAAGCAATTGTCTTTTGCATGGAAGCTGTCTTCGATATTTTATTTTACTATCTTTATTTGATTTAATTGATCTGTCAATCATAAAGATAATTTAAGACTTACCTTGTCAACAAAGGAACATGGTATTTTTGTTGCTCGAAATAATCTATAACTACACAAATCCTAATTCTGCATCACAAAGATTTTGATCTTTAAAGGCCGCTGAAACGAGAAATAAGACACAAGATTAACGCATACATGTATTTTATTAATGGGGAAATTTTGCACAACAATGTTTTATTCTAATGTAGTCCACAGGTGCTCGTCCAGTCTTGGTGCCCATATAAAAAAATGAAGTTAAAAAAACAACAAACAAACAAAAAAAACACATCAAAACAACTATTTTGGGTTGAGTGTAAGAAAAAGAAAATTTTTTTTCTTATATACCATTACTACGTAGTTGGAGGAACACGAAATAATGTTTCATGCAAAACATCTAAGTTTTAGGCCCTTGTGAATTCAAATGATTTTTAAAGTTTTATGTGTTTATCAAAAATCAATGACCTTTTAATCCAAAAGCTATAATTTAACAAACATTATTCATTTCCACTAGAGTATGTGTCTTGACAAATATCTAAGATTACCTGTACGAAATTTTGGCACGGATTCTGGGCGGAATTGGCACGGAATCAGTGATTTCTGGGCGGACCAGGGACGGAAACGCAAAATCCGTGCCATTCTGTCTCACAAGAAAAATATTTTGTTCACTTTTCTGGGCGGAAAACTAGAAAAATTCCGGCTGGAATTTTATTTTGAGCAGAATTTATACTTAAACATTTCATCTTGGACAGAATTTTCAACTTTGAAATTTTTTTTGGTAGGAATAGTCTTCACTACGGGCCGAATTCTATACTTAAACATTTTTCTTGAACAGAATTTCACATATAAGATGTCCAAATCATAATTGTACTCCTGTTTTTGCACTTGCAGACATTGAAATTTTACCTACTGTACTTATTTTTTTTGCTGAACCAATAATTACAGGTGTATTTTTAGAATTAATATATTATTTTTTTAGACATTTAAATAGGCCTTCTTTTTAGATAAAAAATGTGGCATTAATAATATATTGTCAGACTAATTTATATTTTTTGTACTGAAAAACAACTGTAATGATCTTAGTGTAGAATTTGAAAACATTCACCTCCAAAATGCTTAAGTTTATAATATAAAGATTTTTCATACAGCTTGTATTATAATACATTTACTGTATTATGAATTTTAAATATGATTTTAGGACATCATCTAAAAGCAACATTAAAATAAGAATGCTTTTTAAATTTGAATATACTATAGAATATAGGGCAGTCACATAGGGACAAGATTATAAGTGTGCTTGCCATTTTAAATTCTAAGAATTCATGATTTTGTTATAAAAAATATAAACAAAACAAAACAGTGCATGAAATAATCTCATATATAATGCCCTTTTAATCTATATAAAATTGATCAACCAATATGCCCAATAATTGCTTTTATTTACTGTAGGCAAATAAATACTACAATGTATATTCTCACTGAGATTATATTCACCCAGATTTTACACTACACAGATCAGAGCTCTGATAAAACTCTACTGACCAGCAGTTTCCCATCATCTACGCATGACTGGTCATTCCAACAGATCAGGCTGTTCCATGTAATTATTTTGGGGAGAGATAACATTATAAATTGCATATGTAGAATTTGTCTAGGACATATTGCATTTTTTTTGTACAAAAATTTGTAATTGTTTTTTAAAATTTATATATATCTATTTGTTATTTGATATTTCTTTTACATTCAATGAATGAAAGTTAAGATGATGAGTAAATTAACCCTGTTTTACATAATGATGGCCCGGTCCATTATACAGTAAACTGTTGTGAATTTTGAATTCTAAGATATCTGGGTCAGCAAAAAGAGTGGAGGATGTACTTGATATTTTAACAATTTTGGAGTAAAGTTTTGTTTAAGATCTCAAAGTGTTAAAGTAATTGGTATGATAACATGGGACAAGGAGATGTATAACATAATCAGGTAATTATTAACTTTTAGTTAAATTAATTTTATATGACGACAGTATCAATACTAAGTAGCCAACTAAAATTTGTAACAAGAGGTCATTGTTGTTTTAGTATTTTCAACTTCATACATTTGTTGTTTTTTTTCTGATAATTGTTTTAAAATCTTTAATACATGTATAATTTGCAAGTTAAAATTATTCAATGATTTTTTTGTTGATATATAATGGTTGTGTAAATCTATATTGTATAAATAGCATGTAAGTATATCTTTTGCATTTCCTGGAAATTAAACAAATTAAATGAATTTGATTAAATAGGACTAAATGGTACAATCAGTAGTTTTGTACAGTTGAACAGGATCATCATAATCATTTATTATTTTACATGTTTGTGTTGTCTTTCCTATGGAACAATCTAAAATTACATTTTACACTCATAATTTGCAGGCTGCTCAGGGACTTTTTTAGTGCTGACTGTGAGATGCCAGGTGTTTAATAATGATGTGCAGTATTAATCCTGAAAAGGTATATTTTTAAATCTCTATACTTAACTATTCAACATCTTTCCTTGAAAAATACATAACCAGTATTAAATAGTGTCACACATAAAGCAGTCAGTTAATTCTTTATACAGAGCATTCTTAAACACTAGTCTTGTACACTTCAATAGCTGATTCTGTGTTGCTTTACTATTTTTGAATATGCTTTATAAGCATAGTAAATATTTAATACTGTTGAAACATAAAATTTAATATTATTAAAAAATATAAAATATAACTGCATATAATTATGCCAATAAAACATAATTGAGCCATGTCATGACAAAACCAACATAATAAGTTTGCAACCAGCATGGATCCAGACCAGCCTGCGCCTCAGCGCAGTCTGATCAGGATCCATGCTGTTCGCTATCAGTTTCTCTACTTGTAATAGGGATTGTAAGCGAACAGCATGGATCCTGATGAGACCGCACTGATGCGCAGGCTGGTCTGGATCCATGCTGGTCGCAAACCCATTATGTTGGTTTTGTCATGACATGGCTCAATTCATTACAAAATATTTGTTTAATTAATTATGAATTTTATTATTAAAGGTGAGCACAACCACAAGAAGTTCTAGGAAACACAGGCAGTGGACTTAAAACAGACATGGATTAAAGAAATAGTAATTTTAAATAATAAGAAAACATTTGAAACAAATTTATGATTGAAACACTTCCAGCAAAATAATTGCAAAAAAAACAACAAAGTGTTGGATTCTAAGATTCCAATACCAGCAACTAGAAAAAAAAACTGTTTGTGTTATAGTGAATGTAGGGTATTCTATTCTGTATTTGGACTAAAGGATATGATATTTTTTTTTATTAAATTTTTTGTGAAAGAAAATTTAATGTGATACTTTATTGATAATTTTATCCCAAAATATGTGATCATGATAAAACTCCGCCCCCTGAATTCTGTCACAGAATTCCGCCCAGAATCTTGTTTGACAATTCCGCTCCGAAATTCCGCCCCAAGGTTCCGCCCCAAGATTCCGCTTCAAAATTCCGCCCCAAGATTCCGCTTCAAAATTCCGCCCCAACTCATTTGCATATTTCGTCCCAATTCTGCCCAGAATCCGTTCCATTTCCGCCTGGAATCCGGCCGGAATCCGTGCCAAAAGCAAATGGTTTAACACTTGTATATTCGGGGGAGAATTTAAATTTCTGGGCGGAATCTGCCTTTGAATTCCGCCCCATTTCCGTGCAGAAAATTTCGTACAGGGAAAACCTTCATTGTAAAAGA